CCTTCCATCGTGGCAAGTTGATCAGGCTCAGTGTAAAATATGGCAGATATAACATATGTCATGTTTACGTGGAAGTTGCTAGGTTCAGGTAAATCCTTTTTCTTGACGCCAATGTGGTACATGAATTCATTTAACCAGGTCTGTGCTTCTTTTGGCAACATTAGCTTAGGCAACTTTTCTTCTTGAGTTATACCATAGTCCTGCACCTGTTTTGGGACTTCACAAAAAGTATCAACTAACAAAGGTGAGGGCATTATCCTTTCAGGCGAAATAGTTCCAAAACATATTAGTTATGGACATCATCTTGGGGTTGGCATCATTACCATATCCTCTTGAACTCTCCTCAAGATTCTGTATTTTCCTAGATGAGGGCTTTGTGGCATATGATATCCCTCTCATTCTTTTCCTTCTTGGTATATCAACTTTTGCAGTTCATTAAACTGTACATCATAAAACTTTTTCCTTAAAGGCAACCTTAAAGCCTTCTGAGCAATAGATTTAAGTTGGGCATGATTGATAAGGAATTGGCACCTCATCCTTGTCTTTCTAAACCTCATCATGAAGTTTTCTAGTAGACTCATGTTCATATTGTTTTACCTTCACTAGATCGTTAATGGTCATCTCGGGCTCCATCCTATAAAAATGTTCATGAAAAACCATCTCTATTTGCCCCCAGGTAGTAATGGAATTGGAGGGCAACATCTAATGCAACTGAGATGCTAGGCTGACCAACGAGTTCCCAAACAATCTTAACTTAAGATTGTCTTCAAATGCTACAAAATGGTTGGAGAACTTGAAAATATGATATCTACAGGATACACTGCCATCTTTTCCACTAAAAGTGGGAAACGCGGGCATCTTGAAGTTAAGGGGAAAAGGATTCTGCTTATTAATATACTCGGGATATGGCTTTTAGTAGGTGATCCTAAACAGCGGGTGAGCCTAAGGTTGGGCATTTTGGACTATCATACTTCTTAACTCGGCTAACTCATCTCTGAGTTGTTGATTGGCTGTATTATTATATCAGGTATGAGGAAGTTCCCACTTTGGGCTACGATCATTACCTGAGAAAGTTTCATTTTTTGGTTCGGGCTTTCTCCTATATGGCCCATTTTCCCTAATTAGCCAATGGTAGTGGCCTATAAGGGGGAAGGTTTGTCCACAGTTGTGAGCTCACATTTCCCATTAGATTCTCATATTAACTAAGGCATCCCATTCTTATTTCTTTCTTGCCCGCTTTGCCCCCCAATATCTAGTGAAAATAATAAGGGGTCGGGGAATTCTATTTCCCGGATTTCCTCTAATATCGGATGACTAATTCCAAATCCCTCATTGTTTTTTCCCTTATCCTTCTTTTCCTCAAGCAAAGGAAATAGGGGATAACTGGTTCTTTCTTAGGGCTTGCTTCTCTCATCATTTCCCAAGCATAATCATTTTTTGGAGTAGAGTACTTTAGATCTAATCTTCTTTGTAGACTCCTTGTTAAGGAACAGAGCCTACTCACTTCTCATTTGGTTTCCAGAGTAATCTTTTCCATAGTTTTCAATACTTGTATCATGGTGGCTTGTAAGTTTTCATTGGTCATCTTTCCTCCTGACTTCTCAAATGAAGTCTGACTCTCTAGAATAGCTGGTCTTCGTAAGGAAGGGAAATCTTCCTGTTGATCTGTCATGCTTAATTTTGGTAGACACTGAGGTGGCCCATATTCTGTGTTCCACTTGAAGGTTCTCTCATTCCTTTCCTTCTTGGCATACAAGACTAAATAAGCCCTACTAGGCGTGCCAAAACTATGTTCGGGCAAAGATTTCTCTGGAGAAAGATCCTCAGACCTCATCTACAGCTCCCCAAGGGGTTAGCATTTTGGATGTGTAGTCTCGCTTGTTGATATGCTACAAGAAGAAAACAAAGTTAGTTATGAAAGGTGTTTTTGTGGGGCCTTAGGTGTAGGCCTTGAGGCTTACAATCAAAACTAACTTAGTGCTAGGCGTGCCACTGCTATCTTAGTATAGCAGATGTAGAACAAGTGCGTTTTAAGTCGATTATTGCGCCCCAAGTTTCTCGAACTTCTTGCTATCAAAGGATTGTCATGGATAGGTTAAGTCTACATTAAGTTATCTTTCTTACCTTGTAAACAAGGACTTTTAATTCATAGTCTTGTACGTCCAAATGAAGGGAGTCTAGTGCCCCTTAAATGACTAGTTTGGTTCCAGATTACATTTAATGAAAACATATCCATCAAGCTAATCAGATCCAGATGCAAGTGGAGCTCTGAAAGTAGAAAAACAGGTTGAAATAACTTGAATACATGCTGAAGAATGCATTAAGTAATAGATCTACCAATTTAGAAAACAAACAAAGAGCCTCAGGCAAGATTTCACCTTGTCTGGCAAGGTTGAACTTCTTGCAGTCACTTCTCTTTGAATTTACAAGGGTTATATGCTAAAAAGGGATGGATGGTAAACAAGTTTACACGAGAGAATCGATACTACACCTCTAAAGGAGATAACAGAGCTTTTAAACTAGATAAAAGACAGCTTTTCATAGAACTATCACTAGAAAGAACTGAATCTTGGTTGATTTCAGCTTTTGGATGCAAATCTGGCTTTAGAGCAAAGTTTGTATGTTTGTTTGTTTGATTGGTTGAGTTTTCTTATCCTTGTTGTCTCTTCTTCCTTTTATAGGCAGTTTGACCCGATTGTGGTAGCTTTTGCTCTTACCTGAAAGCACTTGGAGGGTAATGAGTCATCAACTTTTTACTTGTAATGCCACTGAAAAATGTTCTTTAGCTGGTAGTAGGTTAGTCTCCATCACTTGTCATTTTAATTATAGCCACGTGGCTTGTAGCTTGGCTGAAAAAGGCTTTAATTTGCTTATGGACTCAACGGGCTTCGGGTAAGTCTTCCTTTAATTTGGCATCCTTAGGCTTTCTTTTATTTAAGCCTAATATTCAAATATTAACCCAAACAATAGTATATACACAAAAGTCATTATGGTTTGACATACTACTCAATTATGTGTTTGTATGGACATGCTTATGCGTCTTTTTCTCCACCAATTGCAAAATGGTGTTGAATCAAATTCTCATATTTCTACAACATGTATATTAAATCAAAGGGTAAATTATACAAAATTACCTCAACTATTGGTGTCACGACACTTTCATACCTCATCTTTTAAAATTGATAATGTTATACCTTGTCTTTAGAATTTGGTACAATGTTATATCTTCCGTTAGCCTGCTATTAATTTGTCAATTAAATACTGACGTGGCTTGATCCAGACCCCACTTTCTATTAAAAAAATAATAAAATATTAAAAAACTAAAAAAAAAGATCATTTAATATTTTTAAATATTAAAATAATAGAGAAAAGTTAAAAACAAAAAAAAAAAAAAAAAAACAAACAAAACAAACAAACCTTTCGTCCCTTCCACCCTCCTTCCCCCCTTCTCTCTTTCCCCATCTTCATCTTCTTCCCTGCTTAATCTTCAACCAAAAAAAAAAAAAAAATTGAAAACCTATCGACCCCCAACCCTGAAGAAGGAGGAGGAAGAGAAGAAGAAGAAGAAGAAGAAAAAAAAAAAAAAAACCCCGACCCAGTTCGTCCCCCCCCCCCAACCCACCCACCCAAAAAAAAAAAATGCGGAGGGTGAATGCGAGAGGAAGACGAACTGAGAATTTTTTTTTTTCTGGGTTGCAGGTAGGGGCTCGGTTGGGGGAGAAAAGGGGGTGGGGGGGGGGGATGGGGAAGGGATGAAGTTTTGTTTTTTTTTTTTTTTTTTTCCTTCTTCTTTTTTCTGGGTTACAACAGGTAGATGGGGGAGGAAGGGGGGAAATGGACGAAAGGTTTTGTTTTGTTTTTTTTTTTATTTGATTTATTTTTACTTTTCTTTATTATATTAATATTTAAAAGATATTAAATGATTTTTTTTATTTTTTTAATACTTTATTAATTTTTTTAATAGAAAGTGGGGTTTGGATCAAGTCACGTCAGCATTTAACTAACAAATTAACGGCCGGGCTAACGGAAGGTATAACATTGGACCATATTCTAAAGACGAGGTATGACATTGTCAATTTTAAAAAACAAGGTATGAAAGTGTCGTGACACCAATAGTTAAGGTAATTTTATATAATTTACCCTAAATCAAAAGTACTAAGATGAAATTTGGAGACTAATAAATCCCTACGAATTGATTTCTCCATCAACCTCAGAAATCCACGTAAATTACATAAGATAGCTAGCAAGAATAATTAAAATTTTGGAAGCACCGTCCCTGATAAAAATGTCACATTTTGTGTCTCTGTCAAATAATTCTCAACCCTAACTTGTGAAACACGTTGATGTTTTTGATTTCTGTCATGTCTGCTGCTGCGTAGCATTATCCAAACACGTGATTGCTATGTCCTCAATATATTGGTTTTGGACCTTTTGGGAGAACATGCGATGCTCCTGGTTCAATAAACCGATCAATGAACTAATTTTAATTTTTAGCCGCAAATTTTTTATTAATATTAGTCTTTTCGCACGTTTTCCACATTCGACATGAACATACGATACGCGACTCAATATTTTTTTTTCCAAAATAGTTCTTGATCAAGAGTTTCATTTTAAGATAATCCTCTTAATATTTCTATAATTTTCATTTTACATTGTGTTGTTCTTTGGTGTTTTTGACTTTTAATTAGAATATCTTCTCTAGGCTTTTGTAAGGTGTATTTTACCATGACCTATAATATTCATGTTTCCCATCACGTCAAAGTACCACACCAATAGTCAGATCACACAATATGTTATAACAATCTTGTAAATTGTAAACCACGTACCAAATTCTTTTGTGTCCTTGTATGCAGTGGTGAAGCTAGGATTTCTCGAGAGGAGGGGCAAAGTTAAAAGAGTGCAAGGTTAAAGAAAAACGGCAATGCAAGGTTAAAGAAAAACGGCAACAACTAAATCTTTTTATATAATAATGTCTTCCATAATTAATCAATACAAACAAATTACAATTGTTGCCGACGAGGTTTCATGTCATGAAAATGTTGCAGAATAGGCCCATTATAAATACAAGCAAATACATCTCTCTCAATGTAAACAATCATGCTATCACTCAACCATTGATCTCCCATTTTGTTACTCAATGGTATTTTCATAATCTTCATAGCAGAAAAAGCTCTTTCCACCGAAACGGTTGCAGTCGGTAACACCAAAGCCAATGTAAGAAGCTTGTACACTAACATATAGCTTTCACACCTCCCAGTCTTCACTAACTCTTTTGCAAGATCACTAATTCCTCTCAATGATGAAAACGCACTATGCATCTTCATATCATGAATGTAATTATTAAGTTGAATTGGAAGATTCATGAGGTCCATACAATCAAAATCTTGAGGATAAAATTGGGCTAAATGAACAATTTTTGCTTCATCAAAAGATGCAAAATTATTAACCGGACTCAAACATGCCATACAAAGAAGCAACTTGGTGTTTACCTCATTGAAGCGCTCATTTAATTCCTTTAGTTGCATAGAGGTCCACACGATAGTAATGGAAGTTTGTGATTTTTGGAGCTTTACGTCTTGATTTTCCAGGTACAAAATGCAAATTCTCCATGTTAGGAATGATAATATCATGCTCCTCACAAAACTTTTCTACATCATGAAACAAGTCCACAAAGTCATTATCATTCAATGATTGTAGTCTTTGCTTGCATACTTCCACTAACGCCATCGCATTCACAATATCTTGATCTTTCTTTTGCAATGCTTGTGATAACTCATTTGTAATTACCAATATAAATCTCATCAAGAAAAGGTGAAATGCAAAATCAAAAGTTTGTATGTCTTTGAATAACCTAGTTGCTTCACCGAGATTTTCTTAGTTGCGATCACTTTTAATCCACTCAACCACCTCCACCACGACTTCAAACATAACAATAATACTAACTATAGTACCATAATGTGAGTTCCACCATGTATCACATGGACGCATGAAACTACCTTCTTGATTTAACCCTTTACCCGTTTCAAGATTACCAAGATCAAGAGCTTTCTGAATTTGTTCTTGTTGTTTCTCTCTAAATGCATCACGATGCTTACACGATGATCCAATAAGATTCACCAAGCTACTAGCATTGATGAAGAAATTGGCAACATCTTCATTTTCCTTTGCCACAAATACAAGAGCTAGTTGGAGTTTGTGTCTAAAACAATGCATATAAAATGCTTGGGGGCATTTGTTCAAAATCTTTGTTTTAAGACCATTTAACTCACCTCTCATATTACTAGCTCCATCATAGCCTTGTCCTCGTAACTTGGACATACTCAAATTTGTTGTAGCAAACAATCTCTCAATGGCCTTTTCAAGCGAGCTACTAGTTGTAGAGGAAACATGTTGAACACCCAAAAACTTTTCAATTCCTTCTCGTTTTTTGTTCACATAATGTAATACCACTGCCATTTGCTCTTTAGTTGAAGAATCACGTGCTCCATCAACTAAAAGAGAAAAAAAGGCACCTTCCATATCTTTAGTGATTGCATCTATAGTTTCAATGGCACAAGTACAAACAAGATCTTTTTGAATATCGGAAGAAGTATGCTGAAGATTCTTGGGAGCATTCTCAAATACAACCTTCCTAACTTGTTCATTATGCTTGGAAAGAAATTGCATAAGCTCCAAATAATTACCCCTATTGCTTCACTTCAACGATTCATCATGGCCACGAAAAGGCAAGCCTTGTCCCAACAACCATCTTGTTCACTCAAGTAAGGCACTCAATAAAGTACGATAATTATTGTGAGCTTCATCGGTTTGCTTAATCACAAATGTTTCAATGTGTTGTTTTTGTGTCATCAAATCTCTAGCCTGCTGTACAGCTTTATTATGAAGACTTCCAACACCCCCTTCATGGACTCGAAGATTTTTGGGTCCTTTCTTCCAATTTGTAAACCCTTTCTCAGTGAAGACATCACTTCCAATGCTACCCATTTGATTGAAATCACATTTGAAAATATAGCAATAACGAAAAAATGCAGCATCTTTTGATATACTATACTCCAACCACTTAAACTTATCAAACCAACCAATGATAAAACATCGTTTGTTGCTAACTTTTCTTGGCATGATGTGGTCTCTAGGTTGACAATGATCATTTTGGAGATAGTATCTACGAACTGCTTCACGATAATTAGGTGGATAATTAAGCATTCGACGTCTATGTGCAGGGTCTGCAGGAAGATTAGCCAATATCTATCACATCCCGGCCTGGGGCAGATCACTTCCCGGGCCCGCTCGACCATCGTAGCACGATATTGTCCGCTTTGGGCCCCGACCACGCCCTCACGATTTTGTTTCTGGGAACTCACATGAGAACTTCCAAGTGGGTCACCCATCCTGGGAATGCTCTCGCACGCTTCTCGCTTAACTTCGGAGTTCCTACGGAACCCGAAGCCAGTGAGCTCCCAAAAGGCCTCGTGCTAGGTTAGGATGGGAATATACATTTAAGGATCACTCCCCTAGGCGATGTGGGATGTTACAATCCACCCCCCTTAGGGGCCCGACGTCCTCGTCGGCACACCACGGTCAGGGTTAGGCTCTAATACCAAATTGTCACATCCCGGCCCGGGGCAGATCACTTCCCGGGCCTGCTCGACCATCGTAGCACGATATTGTCCGCTTTGGACCCCGACCACGCCCTCACGGTTTTGTTTCTGGGAACTCACACGAGAACTTCCCAGTGGGTCATCCATCCTGGGAATGCTCTCGCGCGCTTCTCGCTTAACTTCGGAGTTCCTACGGAACCCGAAGCCAATGAGCTCCCAAAAGGCCTCGTGCTAGGTTAGGATGGGAATATACATTTAAGGATCACTCCCCTGGGCGATGTGGGATGTTACAATATCTCATCCAACTTAGTGGCCTCACTTTGTTGTGACCTACTCGGAATATTCGAAGGAGGACTTCTTGGAATATTTGAAGGAGGAGGATGAGGACTACTCGGAATATTTGAAGGAAAATGACTACCCAAAATGTTTGAAGGAGGATTTAAGCATTGTTTTTTATAGTATCATTCCATTACATAACTGTAAAATGGAAAGAAAAAAAAAATTCTTAGACTCTTAATCCTAGAGTAGACTATACTATAGTATGCATACTAACTAATCCAACCAACAATTCAATTGATCAATACCAATAAGCATATAAATTATTCGATAAATAAAAATTCAATTCAACTAATCATATGAATAATTGTATACATTATGTAATAATTCAAATAATTGAGAATTCAAATTTTAATTTTTACCCTAAAAAATAATTTCATATCAATAATCATAGAATCATATCAATAACCAATAATCATATCAGTGCATTGAGTGCATTACCATATGATTTTATACCAATTAAACAAAATTTGTTTTAAATAATTAATTAGGGTTAGGGATTATAAATTTAGGTATTAAAAATTTTACCTAAAGAGTGGCTTTGAAAGTTGGAAATTGGCGGCTGGAGTGGAGAGTGGCTACCTAAGGGCCAAGCTGTGGGTGGGTGGTGATTGGGATTTCCGTTCCATTTTCTACTTCGAATTGGGGAGCAAGGTTGCATCTTTTGCTGTTCTGATTGGGGGTTGAAAACGGAATGGGGGACACGCGATCCCCTCGTATATATATCCAACTTATCGAAAGGGTGCCGTTTCAGGTTTTTTTAAAAAAAATTTTACCAGGACCAAAACGACGTTGTTTTGGCCTGGTTGTTTAAAAAAAAATGAAAGCTCTGCTGCAAGCAAAGCAGATCTAAACAGACCGGGATGAAGGGCAACAGCAGAACCAATGGATTTTCCGGAGAAGGGAGGGGCATAACCAGTGCTCCAATCTTGTTTTTCCGACTAGGGGAGTAGCAACCGCCACTTCTCGCTCTCACGTGGCTTCGCCACTGCATGTATGTCTAAGTATGTAGAAAATGTAAGAACTCAGAGCACACAAACTGTAGGAAGATGAGATATTTACTAATATTTAACAAATAATATTGTACTTGAATAATACTCGGCTACTCAAAGGATAAGTAGGAGTTCATACTCAAAAGTGTTTAAGTCGATTTATAAAACATCGTGTTTATAATCAGAATAGTTTATTTTATATATCACTCTATAAAGATCGCCTAAAAAATCAATTAATACTAAGGTCGTTTGTTATCGAACTGTATGGAAATAGACGAATAAAATTGGTAAAAACATTACGAACCATCTATGTATTTGCTAAAATAGATGGACTAAACGACCTTAGTTTTAATTCATTTTTTGCAGAGGTAATCTTTATTAAGTGATTCATAATATAAATGATTCTGATCATAAGCACAAAGCTTTGTGAGTGGAACACAAAGTATATATTTAGCATAAACATATACCACAATATAAAGTTACACCTTAATCCAAGTGATAAGAGTAATATTTTACAATATAAAGCTATCAACCTTACTATTTTTTTAATTTGAACCATCTCTTCATAATTGTTTCCTATACGAAGTTGTGGATGATACTACAATAAAAAAACCCAAATGTGCAATATAAAAAAAGATAAAAGAAATCACACAAAAGAAATCAATTGGAAATTTGGAATCAAGCAAACATTGTTGGAGTAAAAAATGTTAAACATAATACGTTCATGTATAATAAAACATCATTGAACTAACCTTGAGACGACATCTTCCTTAACACACCAAGCATTGCAGTTGTAACAAGCTCATTCTCAAACACTATAAATTTCAAAGGTCCATCTTTTGCACACTTACCACCATTGTATTACTCAAACTTATGGGGAGTTCTCTAAGTATGTGTATCGGTGGTGTATGCAGGGACCTTCCCTTGGTATTTATACTACTACAACCCTAACGTACATTCCCATAATCATACACTGGGATCTCTTATTGTACAAGGATATAATCTACCAAATCTCAATCCAAATAGGATAATATCAAGAGCCCTTATTCTCCAATTATAACTGGGTTATATACCTTTACTTGGAGTCCAAGTTATAACTTATGACTAAACCCTAATCATACTTACATTCCATATGAATCCTTATTAAGTATATTTACCTATTAGACATTGGATTAAAGTCTAACATCCAACATTCTCCCACTAGGTCAATTAGTTAATTCAAGAAAGAACTTTAATGAATCAGTAAGCATGATTTAACCTAATAAGCTTCTTGCATACTTCTGTTAAGTAAAGACCACTCATTTAGAACTATCAGAGACTATGAACTTACATAAGTGTTCATGAGTTCTTATAACCACTAAACAAGATCCTCACTTACATGAAATAAGTAATCACAGACTTGGCACAGAAGTGAGCCACAAAACCATGAGTCGAAAGCATTGACCCCATCTCTTCCATTCCATGTCTTTTTTTTTTTTTTTTAATGTTTTTTTTCTGAGCTTTGTCTCATCTATTTGAGCTTTGGTGTCAGTTTTTTTCCCTCTCCTCAATCATCGGTCGTTCACCGTCATCCCCCTCATACATCCTTATCACACCCTGGTCTCTTACCTTCCTCCTATTGCCCTTCATCTTTCTCGACTTTAAACTATGATTAGATCTACGAGTATCGGGCTCTATCTTTAATCAAGACCTAACTCGCACAGCCCACTATCGATCCAGCTTACTGGAAAAAATGAATGAAGTGTGGAACGATTCACGTCGAAACAAGGGTGTTTTACACACCCTCTTTGCCCTCCCCCTTCCCTTGTTACGTTTGGTGACTTTCCTTGCAGGTGTGGTTATGGTGGATTTGGCTCTTGGTGGATTGATTTTGTGCAATACTCTCAGATCTTGGTTTTGGTTCGGGTGCATTTTTCTGTTTGGTGTGATGTCCTTCTTCGCGGAGGTAATGGAGGATATGGCGGTGGTGATCGGTTTTTGGCTTCGGGATTTAAGGGTTTTACTATTTATTGTTTCTTTTGTATTCTACGAGCCTAAATCAGTGTGGGCCTCTTTTTGTAACTGGAGTTGTAGCTCTCCTTGTTTAGGCTTGTCCTCTATCTTATGTTTGCTTTGTTATGTAGAGCTTTGTGCTCTGTTTAGGTGTAGACACTTCTAGCACAAATTGTATCTTCCTTTCATTAATGAAGCTTCATTTTCGACCAAAAAATATATATGCAATATCAAGTCTGGTATATACATGTGCATAATTGACTCCCAACGAGAGAATCATAAGGCTTGCTAGCCATTTTTTTCTTCTTAAACTCAGTCTTAGGGCACTGATCCTTACTGAGCTTTTCTCCCTTTGTCATGGGAACATCACATTCATTCTTGAACGTTTTAAGTACATTTTCAATATATGCTCACTGTGATAAACTAAGCAGTCTTCTACTTCAACCTTTTGTGATCTGAATACCAAGAATAAAAGTTGCCTCTCCCATATCCTTCATCTCAAAGCGTTTGGACATAAATTTCTTGATGTCACTCAGCA